TCACCATGACCAAGCTTCCAACCAGAAACAATAGCTCATCCTGAGGTCAGCATGACCAGCAACTTCAAGGGCTTACAACTTGGGCTTCTCTTAAGCAAATGATGACTTTAAGATGTCCATTGTGAAGTTCAGAATGTGTATGATCTAACCACACAAGTATTGGCCCAATCCAAGCTCGGAGGAGGAAGTTAAGGCCAAAACAAATTGCTAACTCATTTTGCGCGCTGATAAAATCCATCCTGAGCATGGCTCTGTGTTTGCTAGGTAACAGACTCCATATTTATCCAATGGGGCTGAATTTTGGATATGTTATAGTACACACCCATTGGAACAACTTTCATGAAGAATGCTGCCTCATCCGAGCTGTGTAGGTTGCTGAAACAAAGCTTGCAATATGACCTACGGAACTGGACTGGCAGGGGGCTGTAGCCAAAATGAGTTTGTCTTTCAAGCTCTTCATCCATTCATCCAAATTAGGCCTTAACATGCTTGAATTGCATGAATTATGCTCTCTTGCTCTATTGGCCTACAAAACACACAAATAGAGGCAAATAACTCAGAATTATAGGAAACTAAGCAAAAGAAGTAAGTAAATTGGGCATGTATATGTATGAAATTATGAGCTTTAACAGATACTCAGTTGGTTCGAGCCCCATTTTCGTACGGCTTGGAGGACATTGATTGGGGCTCCTGGGAGGCCAACCTGGAGCGGCTGGGTTCCAATCCTGATGTACCTGTTTCCAAGGTCTACTTCTCCTGGTTAGACTGGGTGGACGAAATGCAACCTTTGTTTAAGGACATTTGGAAGCGGAATGGAATATACTACGCCATTCTGTTGTCGAAAAATCGGATTGACCTAAACCCTTCGCTGCTGGGGGCCGCCCTTTGCTTTTGGGATAGCACTTCGAACACCTTCGCTTTCGAACCTAGTCCCATGACTCCCACTATCCTAGATATGGCAGCCCTTTTTGGATTCAAGCCCTGGGGCGAGAATATTGATGTCCTAGGTGACTACGAAGTGGAGAATCAGAAGGGTAGTGTTCCGATGAGGGCGAGCAAGACTGAGATTCTTTGTCTGAAAATCTATTCCAGTTTTATGATGTCTTACCAAAGCATGGCTGATCGTGAGCAGGAACATATGATGTTCCTACTATTCTAGCTTAATCGGTTTATCTTCCCCAACGCGGACGGCAGTGTTAGCTCGGAGTATATGCACTTGGCTGAAGCCCTTCATAACGAATCGGGTCTGGCCACAGGTCCTTTCATGCTGGCCTCGCTCTACCATTACCTTTACCAGATCACAATTAACCCTCTCAACTTGACCGTGTGTGGTCCGAATAGGTGCTCCTGGATAATGCGCATCAGGTTATGTTTTCTGACATGTGGGCTGGTTGCAGGTAATTCGAGACTCCTCTATTCCGGTTGAAGGTATTGGTCTCGCTACTGCTGCTGTGACGTAGCAAAGAAAAGTGCGACTTGAGGAGGGGCGGCCTGAAGAAGCTGTTCCTGCGGCAGAAGGCCCTGCAGGAGAAGTTCCAGCTGAGAAGAATAACCAAGAAAGGAACAACCAAGAGGATGATGCCCCCCGAGCCTGAGATAATGAGTCTGAAATACCGATTTCCAAACCTGCCGCCGAGCCTTCTACTGGTTCTGCAGGTGCCAGGGTGTCTGGAGGTTTAGGGACTGAGAGCTCCGACAATGCCTTTATTTCGAATGCAAGGGCGAAGATACTGCTGGGGAAGTGGCTGGTGCTTCCTCTGGAGGAAAAGGTGGCGGAAGAGCAAGGTGCCAAAGTTTCTGATGCTCTGGATTCTATATGTCGTGCATGTCCGGATTTTGTAGTATTTTGCGAGAATGCCAAGACTGAGTTGGAAACCCTTGTTGGCAAATTCAAACGTGATGATCCGTTGTGTCAAACACCAGATGTTCTTCCCGGATTAGAAGCAGAGCTGACTCAGGCAAAAGGCATGATGGAGGCGCAGCTCCAAGAGCTGACTAAGCAGGACGTGCTGCTGAAGCAAGTATGTTAGCGTCTGAAAAACTCATAGGCCCGATTGGCGAGGGTGCTGGTGCAGAAGAGGGAACTCCAAGATGCAGGGGATCAAATGCTCACAACTTTGTCCTTGGCCCAAGAAAATCTGGATAAGGCGAATATGGATGTCGAGCTGGAGCTGTGGGGCGAAAAGCTGAAGCAGATCCGTCTTGATCGGTTACGCGTGGACGTGCTGCATTTTTCGGACAAGATCAAGACGTTGCTAGATTTATTAGTGTAAACTTTTTTTAAACTTGCCTTGGACGACTTTGTTTTTTTTTATTTTATTTTTTTTATTAGCCCTTATATTGCTTATGCTGATGGATGATTATCTTGGTATGATGAAACTTCAAATGGGCTATATAAAATTTCAAAAACTTTTGTCTATATATGATCGCCCTTAATGTGGGTGATTTGCTACAATATCTTAGCATACAAGATTATGAGTCATGCGTTACCCCCCTCAGTCATCACTAAGGTCGATGCCTGTCGTTTCCCATAAAGAAGGAAGAAACTTTTTTAACCATTGTCCGTTTATAGGGTGCTGGTGGGGGGTTCCATCTCTATCTTGCAGTAGATAGGCCCCTTTTCCTAGGATTTTGTGGACCACAAATGGACCTTCCCAAGTGGGACTCCATTTCCCAAGTCCCGACACGTGGGTTCCTAGGGGTAAAATAGCACGACAGACAAGTTCTCCTTCTTCGAATGTCATTCCTCGGACCCTTTTGTTGTAAGCCCGAGCCACCGCCTGTTTGCCAACCATGAGATGATTTAGGGCCTTGGCCCGAATCGGGCTTAACTGCTCCAATTCCTGCATCATGAATTCGACATAAGCTGCGTCATTCATATAAGGCTGCCTCTCTATGCGTAGAGATTGCACGCTGATTTCGACCGGCAGAACTGCGTCATGACCGTATGTCAACGCGAAAGGGGTAGTATCGATAGACGTTTTCTTTGACGTCCGGTCCGCCCAAAGTGCCTTGGATAACCTTTCGTGCCAGTCTCTAGGATTTTTTTCGGCCATCTTTTTGATGATGTTGATCAAAACTTTGTTGGTAGACTCTGCCTGACCATTTGCCCGTGGGAAATAGGGACTAGACTGTACGAACTTGATGCCGTAGGCGTCGGAAAAGTCTTGGATTTCTTTGGAAATGAAGGATGTACCTTTGTCTGTAGTGATTGTTTCTGGGATCCCAAACCTGTGGATGATTTGTTGTTTAATGAAGGTGATCACCACTGAAGAGGAAATGGATTTGACTGCACTTGCCTCTACCCATTTTATGAAATAATCGGTGGCCACTATAATGAATGTGTGCTCGTTGCTAGAACTAGGCACGACTTTACCTACGAAATCCACGGCCCATCCTCTGAAAGGTCGAGGTTTCACGATTGGGTTTAGAGGAACAGCTGGTACATGCTGTATCGGACCATTCCTTTGACAATCTTCGCAACCTTTGGCATAGTTGAAGCAGCCCTTTTCCATAGTTGGCCAGAAATAGCCGTATCTCTTGATCAGCCTGCGAAGCTCATAATTTCATACATATACATGCCCTATTTACTTACTTCTTTTGCTTAGTTTCCTAGACTTCTAAGTTATTTGCCTTCCTTTGTGTGTTTTGTAGGCAAATAGAGCAAGAGAGCATAATTCATGCAATTCAAGCATGTTAAGGCCTAATTTGGATGAAGGGAAGAAGAGCTTAAAGACAAACTCAATTTTGGCTACAGCCCCCTGCCAGTCCAGTTTCGTAGGTCATATTGCAAGCTTTGTTTCAGCAACCTACATAGCTCGAATGAGGCCACATTCTTCATGAACGTTGTTCCAATTGGTGTGTACTATAACATATCCAAAATTCAGCCCCATTGGATAAATCTGAAGTCCGTTACCTAGCAAACACAGAACCATGCTCAGGATGGATCTTATCAGCGCGGAAAATGAGTTAGCAATTTGTTTCGGCCTTAACTTCCTCCTCCGACC